TCTTATAGATCTGGTTATATATATAATTATATGTGAAATAATCTTTGTTTTGTGAAAAATAATCGGTGAATAGTGAGAATAATTGGTTGTTTATGTGATTTTATGATGAATATATGAAGATATATGGTGAAAATATGTTATTATGTTTAGATAGTGCATGATAAGATATATTGAGGATGATTGATATGATTTTGTGATATGAAATGTACAAAGAGATGGATGTTACATGTTTGAATATATTGTGGTTCATGTAAAAATGATGTGTATTATGAATATGCCATGGTTTGATGTATATGATGAAAAATATATGTGGACATGAGAAATGACATATGTGAACATACTCAAAAAGAGTATGAGATGGAAATGAATATGATATAAATAGTTATAGAGATACACTGGAGTGGAAGATGGAGACGATATGAGATATCTTGGAGAAATGCAAGGTGGTGAGTTACATTCGGGGTTGTGCATGAAATATTGTGTACGAATGCACTACATGACCACACACTTGTTTCCCAACTTGATTCCTGATCATTACCTTTGCTAAGGGACTGTCTATTTCATGCATTATATCTGTATTGCATTGGGTCATCCAGCGACTATTACATGGATGTGTAAGACCTCGGGATAGAGGCATCAGATAACTGTGGTCATAGGATGCGGTGAGCGCAAATAATGAAAAGAAATTATGAATATGTGGAATATAATATGTGTTTATGTGTTGAGATGAGAACTTGCTTTATGTAACACTATGATATACAATACCATGATGTTTTCTTTAGTTGTAATAAGATGTGTTTTATGATGAATATGTGTTTTGTATGAGTAATAGGGTAGAGACTCACCCTTACACAACATTTTTAAGAAACCAGGACGAGTAGTACCAAGCTCACAGTGTATGGATGGATGAGAACTGTTATAGGACTTGGTTATTTGGAGTTATGTAATGAATATTTTCAGTTCTATAGCATTTTTTTGAAACAGTTGTAAAACTACTATTTTCTCTATTGTAGATGAAAATTTAGAATTTTAGTTTTCTAAAGTACTTATGAATCAATGAAATTTTAGTATGAATTATATATATATATATATATATATATATATATAATTTCATTGCTTCTTTCTCATTAGAGAGTTTATGAAAGAAATTTCTTTTATCATTTAAATTTTTCATGAAAATTTTCATATATATATATATATATATAGAAAAAGGAATATGAGGCTAATGATTCATATTTTGTACTCACATTTATAGCCTTATTGCATCGCCCAAAATATCTTTTCTGCTTTATTTATTTCATTTAGCATGTTTTTACATTTTTTTTGCATTAAATTAGAGTTTTTATGAATATTTGCTACCTTTACTTTATATTTCATATTTTCGCTATTCTGATCTTTGTCCACTATTTTGGCTATAACTTTTTTTGTAGATCTTTTTTTTGGCTGATTTTTTTTGCAATGGATTACTGACTTCCTGGGCTTCAATTTGGATATATGGATCATGCTGTTTGGAGTTTGGACCTGTTTTCTATTAATTTTTGAAGTTCAGACTCAAAACATACCCTTTTATATTTAGGATTTTTATTTAGGGCTTTTATTATAATTACTTGCAGAGGCCTTGGCCTATTTAATTCTGTTTTCATTAAGACTAGTATATATAGAGGTCAAAAGGTAGATTTTAGATCTATCTACCTCTCTTTTCCCTTTTGATAATTTTGCTTTTTTATAAAGACTTTTTCTTGTTTTGAGAGAAAACCTTTTTGGTTTCATTCACTTGCCTGTTTTTGGATTCCGCTACGTTCTCAATTATTATTTTCTCACGAATCATCTCGTCTCAAGCGTGGATTGCAAGATCGATTGATCGCTCCGAGTTTGTCTTTTCACTTTTTTGCAATTCTTGATTAAGATTGGTGCATGCATAATTTGATTAAATTTGGTTTTGTTCTTGAGTGTACTATTGATCGATTGATTGATTTTACATTTGAGATTTAGGAAAAATTCAGTATAGTAATCATAGTTTGCGTTTGTGATTCATGATTTCAATTTGTGGTTTTAATTCTTATTTTTGTTTTCCAATTCGTTTTGTGTTTTGCTTTCGTTTTTGTTTTTGTTTGCGTTTTTGTTTTCATTTTCATTTCTCAATTTGTTTTTGTTTTTGTTTTTATTTTTATGGGTTAAATTAAATCCATTTTCAATTTTTAAATTTGTAACATTGATAAGTCTGTAATTAGGCCCTCTTTTACAGCCCATATATTCATATTTGACATTTATTTTATTTGAGTTTTACACTAATTTATATATTAATTGTGCAGTTCAGTATAAAAAGGCTGCAAGTGGATTTTGGGTGTATTCTGGGCCTAAATTGATGGAAGATTAGAGCTTCGCAGCAGTCAGTAGGCCCAGACCCATTCAATAAGCACGAGAGTGCTTCGAGCCCATGTACGGTCGTGCTTAAGGCCTTGCATGGCCGTGCTCATCTGCAGGAAGCCCAATTATGAAGAGATTTTAGGATTTTCAAATCCTATAAAAGTGAAGATCTCAGGCACCATAAGAACATCGTTTTGACATCTTGGCTTTGACTCTAGAATACATCTAATCTCGTCTCTCTTGCACGGGATCCTTGGCACATGCTTGGTGGGACTTGGAGCTTCGAGTGATCGTACTTGAAGACCGGGAACACATCTCACACTCTAGTTTGCTATTTCTTTTGATTATGGCTTTGTTTATGATTGTTTTAGTTCTTTTCTTTAGCATGAGTAACTAAGTCCATAGCTAGGGCTATGGGAAACTATTGTTCATGAATTTATGGAATTTTGATATTTGAATTTAACTTTGATTTCCGTTTTGTAATTAGATTTTATCCTATTTCGCTTCTTTCTTAATACTAATTAATTATATCGTCAGGCGACCGTACCTCAGTTAATTAATAGATCTATAGGGTAAAATGACACAAAGGATTAGATGGACCAAACCAATCTTTCTCTTCTAATCGTTATTAAATTAACAAGTTCATAGGTTCCTCAAGCTTTCTCAAATTGATATCTTGCATGACTATTGGGGATATTAATTTAGAGAAAAGAATATTAATATTGCATGACCAGTGGATATTAATAGCATCAGTATGAATGATTGGTAATCACAAGGAAATCAGATTTAGAGTTAAATAGAAAAATAACATAAACGATTGAATGAGAAAACCCATATGCCCTAAGTTCCTCTCCGATAAGTTTATCCAAGACGTGCATTGTATTCCTTACTCTTAGTTTTATAATTGATTTTATAAATTCTTGTTTTTAATTAATCTCATATCTTTGAAGCTTAAACAATTGAATTAGGAAATTCTTTGTAATTGGAAATCAATCCTTGTGGGACAATATTTCGGGAACTTAATTTAAGAACCTTTTATTACTGCTCAATGGGTACACTTGCCCTCCGAACAAGTTTTTGGCACTATTGCCAGGGATTGCTTTTTCAATATTAAGAAAATCTTAAATTTAATTGATTTAAGCAATTTGTGTTTTATTTTATTTTGTTTTGATTATTGTTAAATTTTTCTTTTATATTTTATAATTTTCGTTTTTATTTTATTTTAATTTTTTTATTATTTCACAATTTCTTTTAATGTATGCTCACTCGTTCTAAGTGCTCTACAGCTTGTTTATTTGATCTGAAGATTGAAAGAACAGTTCGTAGACAAAGAAAAGAAGTGAGAGAGCAAAGAATGGCAGAGGGAAGGAGATCAATCCAAGATTACATGACACACACTGCTAGAGGCACTCATGGAAGCATTGCGTCACCAAATGTGGAGGCTAACAATTTTGAATTAAAGCCAGCACTTATAACTATGGTCCAGAACTCGATACAGTTTGGAGGCATGCCTAATGAAGACCTCAATCTTCATCTGATAAAGTTCCTCCGATTGACAGATACCATCAAGTACAATTGAGTCTGCAACGATGCTATTCAACTCCGTCTTTTCTCATTCTCGGTATCTGAAAAGGTGAATGCTTGGTTCGCCTCACTCTCAGCCAACTCCATCAGAACTTGGGAGGATCTCACTCAATAATTCTCGGGAAAGTACTTTCCCCCATCAAGGTCCTCTAAGCTTATGACGGAGATATGTTGGTTCCAACAACATGAAGCAGAATCCTTATTCGAGGCATGGGAGTGATTTGGAGAGCTTTTGAGGAGATGTCCTCATCATGATTTTCCAACGTGGAGACAGGTAGAAATTTTTTACAGTGGCCTATCAATCACTATCAGGGCTACAATTGATGCCGCAGCAAGAGGGTCCCTTATAAGAAAAGATCCAGATTATGCATACAAGCTGATAGATGAGATGACATCTTCTAGCTTTCAATGGCACACTACTGACTCTTACGACATCAAGAGGAAAAAGACCACTCCAGTCTACCAAGCAGAGAGCAACAGCCCACTAATGAACCAAATGACAGCCCTTACAAAGCAACTTGAATCTTTAATGAAGGCTCAAGACCAACTTGTAAGAGCTCCTGCAAGCCCAGAATTTAAGCAAGAAGAGGCAAACTTCATGGGCAATCACAGTTTGGGGTGGAGGAGTAATCCTCCAAACTCTTGGGGGAATGGCTTTGAAAGTCAAAATTCAAGTGTTTATCGCCCTCCTCATGTGCAAAGTCAGGGAGCAAGACCTGAAGGAAAAGAAGATCCTAGATCTCAGTCCAACTTTCAAGAACAGATGATGCAATATGTGCATTACTCTGATAAGAGGATGACAGAGCTTGAATCCAAGTTGGACCAACATATTGAGAGAACTGATAAAAGGTTTACAGAGGTCAGATCTGAAATACAAGCTAGCTACTCTAAGATGACTGCACAATTGGAGCAAATTACGAATCTTCTGAGTCAAAGAGTGATGGGAACACTACCATCTCAACCTGAGCCTAATCCAAGGGACCAATGCAATGCCATTACTCTAAGAAGTGGGAAAAAATTTGAATGGGATGCAAACACATAAGTCATGCATGGCTGTGCTGAAGGAGGAGCACACCCTTGCATCACTCTACACGCCCATGCTGCCTGAAATAGAACGGCCGTGCTTAGAACAACACGCCCTTGCAGACAACGAAGGCACGACCGTGCTAGACGAAAGCAAGGTCGTGCTCAATGAAGGCACGCCCGTGTTGGATGATGAGCAAGGTCGTGCTTACCACCCAGATGCGAAAAAGGAGACAAGGGAAGATGCACCAGTGGTGACAAAACCAAAAGTTCCATTTCCACAACGATTGATGAGTAGCCAGAGAGACCCTCAATTCAATAAGTTCCTTGGGATCCTCAGAAAGCTCCACATCAATATTCCTTTTGTTGAAGCCATATCACAGATGCCGAAATATGCTAAATTTCTCAAGGAGATGCTAAGCAACAAAAGGAAATTGGAAGAATTCGAGACAGTTAGATTGAATGAGGAGTGCTCAGCAATTTTATTAAGGAAGTTGCTGCCTAAGCTTAAGGAACCAGGGAGTTTTACAATTCCATGCACTATAGGCAATTCTTATTTTGATAAAGCGCTCTATGATTTAGGTGCTAGCATCAATCTAATGCCATTTTCTGTGTTTAAAAGGTTGGGTATGCAAGAACCCAAGCCAACTTCAATCTCTCTGCAACTTGCTGATCGTTTAATAACGTATCCTAGGGGCATAGTGGAGGATGTCCAAGTCAAGGTAGATAAGTTCATGTTTCCTACAGATTTCATTGTCCTTGACATGGAAGAATGATAATAGATGTTCAGCAAGGGAAGCTCACACTGAGGCTAGATGATAAGGAAGTTGTATTTCAAGTTTTCAATTCTTTCAAGTACCCTTCAAGCCAAGAGTCCTGTCACTTTGTGAGCACTATGAATGTTGCTTCTCCTCCTCCAATTTATGTGAAGCATGGAACCATAAGAAAAAGGGTAAGGAGGAAGCAATATAAGAAGAAGAAAAGACAAAAACTTAAACCATCCATTAATAAGCCTCCTAATTCGAAGCTTAAATTTTCTTCTCTTTATTCTAATCCCCATCTTATGAATAATTTTTCTAATGTAATAGGTGTTGGGGAGGCAAAGCTACTGGGAAGACAATTGCATATCAAGGGAGTCACCTCTGAGACTCATACCTTCTTCCCACCATGATTTAACAGGAACGTCAGGCTTGTGATGTTAAACAAGCGCTCCCAGGAGGCAACTTGTGTCTTTTATTTTATTTAAATTTTATTTATTTTTGTTTATTTTAATTTTTGCTATTTATATTTTATTTTTAGAATAAAGAATAAGTATATTGAAAGATTGCAAGAACGGAGTGATTGTTCCCACACTTTTGAGCTCTGATTTGGAAGCACGCCCATGCTTATCACATACACGGCCGTGCATTGAGTCGCAGTTGTGAGAGAAAGCTTTACATCATAAGCATGGGCGTGCTCAAGATTTCAACATGGCGTGCTCCCTCACTCGAAGCCGTCGCGCCAAGAATTATCAGGGAACTTCTTTCCTTTTTATTCAATTGCCCTCTTTGCATGTTTTTAAGTTAATTGCTTTCAAACATTGAGGACAATGTTTCGTTTTAAGTATGGGGGAGTAGTTCCTAATTATATGATTGTTATTTGCATGTTACTAAGTAAAGTGCCTTTACTATTTTTTATGATAATTTAAAACTTTTTCCCTCATGGAACCCAATTTTTTCCAGATAGAAGAGCATGTTGAGTGATTATTATTGGCATTATACTTTCATTTGGAAACTAATAATTAGCTGGGTTCCTTACTTTTATACTCTACATTAAACTTTAACCCACAGATGTGAGTTTTGAGTCTTGAAGGGGATTTCTATCTTAATTTAATTAATTGTACCCTTTTTCTCATTGTTTTGTGTGATTATCTCCTTAGGTTTTGTGCTCTAGAACTTGACTTAGAACCGACTTAAGACTTCTTCTTTTAATTGCATGTTTTTAATATGATTGAGGCATAATAGAATTTTTATTCTTGGTCATCAGCATGTTTGAGATACAACTAGTTGCCCACTTTGAGCTTTATTAATTTTCTTGGTTTTTTACATTAAATTTATAAAATATTTTGATAACCTTGAGTTTATGAATGGAGCAATTGAGTTGTTGAATTGCTTGATAAATTCTCCTCTATATCTCTCATGTGCAAAAAGAAAGAAAGAAAGTATGAAAAAGTAAATGAAAAAAAGGAAAAAAGAAAAAGGGTTATATATGATTAAAAGGAGAGAAGAGTAAAGATATTGTTCATATACAAAAATATAAAAATTACTCCAAGAGCTTCATTTGTAAACTTAGGGGATGTTTATAACTTTTATAATTTAAATTTGATTTTAATTTTCATTTTGTGATTAGATTTTATCCTATTGCGCTTCTTTCTTAATCCTAATTAATTATATCGTAAGGCGACTGTACCTCGATTAATTAATAGATTTATAGGGTAAAACGAGACAAAGGATTAGGTGGACCAAACTAATCTTTCTCTTCTAATCATCATTAAATTAACAAGTTCATAGGTTCCTTAAGCTTTCTTAAATTGATGTCTTGCATGACCATTGGGGATATTAATTTAGAGAAAAGAATATTAATATTGCATGACAAGTGGATATTAATAGCATCAGTATGAATGATTGGTAATTACAATGAAATCGGATTTAGAGTTAAATAGAAAAATAACATAAAGGATTGAATGAGGACCCATATGCCCTAGGTTCCTCTCCGATAAGTTTAACCAAGACGTGCATTGTATTCCTTACTCTTAGTTTTATAATTGATTTTATAAATTCTTGTTTTTAATTAATCTCGTATCTTTGAAGCTTAAACAATTGAATTAGAAAATTCTTAGTAATTGGAAATCAATCCTTGTGGGACGATATTTTGGGAACTTAATTTAAGAACCCTTTATTACTTCTCGATGGGTACACTTGCCCTCCGAACAAACATCTTAATTCAAATTTCAAAATAGTAAATTTCACAAAAATAGGAATAATAAAACTTTTCATTCAAATGCTTTCCAAATGTTTCGTTCAGCAAAATATCCCGAAATATAAGGATAGATTATAGTTTAACTCAATTAATTGCTACATGACATAATTAATACACATCAGTTTCAAAACAAAATAAACATTTTAAGTCTTATAGCAGTGTCATCCATCCTTTTACTGAGCCTGGTGCTGATAGTCTTGGTCACCTGAAAAATAAATGTAAGGGTGAGTACTCTGCACTACTCAATACACACAATTAAACATAGAGTCTCACCTTGTACATTTCACACATTTCTAAAGTAATTCAAATCAAGCAGTCGTAGCCACAATTAATATTCCATTTCAACTTACACACTAGTGCACTCACTGCACCATCACACAATCAATAGACAACAACCATGTGCGCTCACTGCACGCCAGCCACGCTCACTGTGGCATTGTGATCACAGTTTCACACAATGAATGGTCACCGATTACCCCCGCCTCATGGATCCCGCGTGGGCAGTCACGAGTCACTCTGCAAAGGTAGTGGTCAGAGGTCTAGTTAGGAGGAGAGTGTGTGACCTGCGGTGCACCCACGCTCACTGTTGGTGTGACCACCTGATGAATCCATATTTTTACTGATATTTTAGCATAATTCTAACACATTTGATAAGAAAAATATATGAAGAAAGCAGAAAAACTTAGAAAAAGAGAATGAATTTAAGTTTTCTTTAAAATTGTAGTTATTTTCGCATTTGTAGAATTTATGCTTAGTTCTTAAGGAATTTATCTTGTTTTTGAAGGAATAATCTGAGCAAAAGTCATGGAAATGGATTATCAATGGAAAGGAAGAGGAAGAATGGCAATGTTGGACTCCAAAATACAAGAATTTGGGATGCAGGCTGGGCGTGATCACTATTGTAAGGGAAAGTGATCATTCCAGAGCCTAAATGAGAAGAGGAGCCTGTGCGTAATCACTTTTATTTACAAGAGTGAGCGTTGCCAGTGCGCGTTATCACTTTCGCCATCGAAAGTGAACGTTCCAGAGAGACTTCATTCCTGATGAGCTGCGCGTTGTCACTTTCGCCAATGAAAGTGAGCGTTCCAGAGGCACTTGTATCAGGACAACTTGCGCGTGGTTACTATTACTCATGAAAGTGATCACGTGCAGCCCTCGACCTCCTGCGTTGCCACTCTTATGAATTAAAGTGAATGTTCCAGAGAAGCCTTCAACTCTGCAAGTTGCGCGTGGTTACTCTTGCTCTTGAAAGTGAACACGCGCATTACATAAAGCTTCTGCGAGGTTACTCTTGTGAAGAAAAGTGACAATGCGCAGAACTGGGGTTTCTATAAATACATGATTGAAGCGCGAAATTGGGGGTCTTTTGCTCATTTTCTGTTTTGTTAGTTAGATTCTCGTTGAGAGAGAGTGGAGAGAAGATTGGGGTTGAAGCTTGAAGCTCCAAGAAGAGGGATTGGATTGGAGCTCGTGGCCATGGCTGCTCTGCATTCTTCTTCATCTTCTTCTTCTTCTTTCTCTGTTTTTGTTGCAATGTGTGCTTAATTTCCCATAGTTAGGGGTTTATGGAACTCGAATTGATGTATTGATTCGACTTTATCTTTTGAACTTTAAGTTCTTGGATTAATTGAGTTGTTAATTCTGCTTTTCATGCAATCTTTAAATGGAAATTCATTTGATTAATCAAGAGGAATCTTTACCAATGGGAATTGGATTGTTTGCTCTGATCTGAATTGGCAACCAGAGTTTAAGGATTTCTTAGGGATAAGGAGACCTAATTCTGCAATCTTATAGTTCTAATTCTTAATGCAACCTAAAATTGAATCTCACCTAAGGGATTAGGGAGTGATGAATCCACTTTTTATTATATTTTTACTTGCCTTTTTTATGCTTCTTGATAGAAAAAATGGACTTAGATAGTGAAAATAATATAGAAATCACATTTTGAATAAATATCATAGGTTTATTAATTTTTGGTTAATTTGCATTTAATTACATAGATATAGATTGCAATTTTAATTATCTTGATGATTTTGCATAATGCCCAAGTTAAATTTGAGAAATCTTGGTCCTTAGATGAAAGTTGCCCCCAAAGTAGCTACTTTGAGGAGTAAAAGTGGCAACTACAGCAAGCATGGGCATTAAAGGTTCCAAAGTAGCCACTTTCAAGTCCAAAAGTGGCAACTCCAGAAGCTCCAGGGACGCCAATTTTGAAGCATGATGCGCGTGGTTACTATGGGCTCTCATAGTAGCTACGCGCATCCAAAGTAGTTACTTTGAAGACCAAAAGTGGCAACTTCAGAAGCCCCTGGACGCTGATTTTGAAGCCTTCCTGCGCATGGTTACTATGGGCTCTCATAGTAGCTACGCCCATCCAAAGTAGCTACTTTCAGCACAAATAGTAGCAACTCCAGAGAAGCGGCATTCCTTGCATTCTGCGCGTGGACACTTTCAAGGCCCAAAGTGGACACTTTCAAAGGCAAAAGTGGACACTTTGGTGACATGTCATCCACTATAAATAGATTTTAGGAATTAGGGTACGGGACTTTTGACACTTTACACAATTTTTCTTTGCCAAATTGGGATAATTTCTTACGACATTGGAGTCTTGGGTGACAGCCAAGGGTCCTCTATAGGTTTTAATTTCCAATTTCTCTTTTGATTTTTGTTGAATTTGCATTAATGATGTTTACGTTCTTGCATTTCTTTCTCTCTTTTGTGAAGCCCATCCACATGGAGGGCTAAACTTTCTTGTAAT